CTAGATCTTGTGATCTCCATTCAACTAGGTAGGGTTTTCCTTCACATAAAGCCTTTAAATTTCATGGGCATTAGTCACATTCCTTTAGATGTTTTCTCATCATGAACTTGATTTAACCATTTGGTTAGCGAATCTGCGATGTTATCCTTTGATCTTACAAAATCAACAGAGATAACTCAATTTGAGATCAATTGTCTATGATATTATGTCACCGACGCATATGTCTCGACTTACCATTATACTTGAAATTTTGCGCTAGTAACAGTACATGCATACTGTGGGCACATGTTTCAGCCATTTAAGAATATCCTCCAAGAAATTCCAAAGCCATTCAACTTACTCTATAGACTTATCTAGAACTATAAACTCAAATTCCATTATGAATATGATAATAACCATTTTCTTAAAGATTTCCTGGACACAACTTTTCCTTCCATTGTGAAACATATTCACTTTGTCATTGATATCTAGAATATCAAATTTTAACTAGCATCGGTCTATTCTTCCAAGATAGTAAGATAGTCAAAGAAAATACAATCCATCATTTAGGATTTATTTTCATTTATTTTGGTAATGTAGTCATTACCTTCTCAAGACACCCCCATATTTTTAAGTGTTTGTATGACACAAGTTTTCAACCTTTCCATAACTCATATGGTGTCTTATCATTTTCCTTTCACAGGGATCTTATTTAAAAGGTAATTAGTCGATAGAATAACTTCTCTCCCCACTCACATGTTTTGTGATAACTCATAATTTCTTAGCATTATGTTTATTATTTATTTTAAGGTTTAATTCTTTCGCTTTGCTAACTCCATTATTTTTGGAGAGTTTAGTGATGTCACTTTATGAATAATATCATGTTGTTCACAATGGTTTAACATATTCACCATCACTATCACTTCTTTCCATCTTAGTTTATAGAAAATAGTTTTCTCTATAACTTCAATTTTACTCTTTTAGCAAATACACAGAGCAATATTTTTGCTATAATCAATAGAGGCAATAAAATATTTATTTTTCCTTTGTCTATGCCATTATTACAAATTTTAGAAACTTGGTCTCTAACAATTCATTAGTATCGGCATCTTTTGTTTCGTATTTATGGCCCAATATTATCCATAATTCTCTAGCCATTTTAATCATTGTACACTTCATAACGAACATAAAATAAGACTTGGAGAATGTGATTACATCTTAGAAAACCATAGTTTTCCTATGCTTTGATTCGATACTTTCAAGAAATAAAGTGAACGATTTAATTCTTTTACAAAACAGAATCATACAAGATTCTATTAAAATAAATTTAACAATTTATTTCCTTCTACAAAATGAAATCGTTTAAGGTTTCTAAAAAAATAAATTTGATGTTTTCTTTCTATTTACAAACCAAAATCATATAAGATTCATAGGAAAATAAATTCAATGATTTATTTTCTTTTCAAAGTTAGAATCAACGTAAGATTCTATGGTGAAATAAATTCATCAATTTATTTCCCCTTTTTCAGTGTTATATCTTCTGTTAAACGATGGAATTAGTAGCACTAAAACCCGAAACATATATATCAAGGCAACCTGATTTTGCTTAACAACTAGAAATAAAAAGAACTAATCCTTTAACCTTGACAACCCAGTATTCAAGAGCCTTTGATTAAACTCTGAATCTATTTGTATCTATAAAATTTCTCAAAAAAAAAGTAATCGTACAATGTTTTCAAACACATGCCATAATTATCATAATATTTTATAATAATTATAAATATAAAAAGATATTCTTCTTTCATGTAATTTTTAATATTCTATATCAAAAGGCTATGATTAATGCTTACGCATTCTTTTAATGTGGTAACAATGTTTACCTCATCTTCTCTAATAGTAGGAGGATCATCTTACATTTATTCAAATTCACTATGACCAAATAAAATAACATCTTATGTTATCACATCTTGAAATTCTATCTTTAGAATCTTACAAGCTTTTCGTTGTGGCTCATGACCACCAACAATCATGATTCCGTTTAACACACGAAATTAGAATTAATAATAATTCCAACAATAAACCAAAAATAAATTATGGTTTATTCTAAGTAACAAAGTCGTTACTTTCAAACGATTTCTATTATTAATAGTAATCAAATAATTTTGTTAGACGATAGAATTAAAACCCCATTAAAATTATTTAAATAATTTTAATATATATCCATTAAATTTTATAAAATGTAATTATTTAAATTATTTAAAATAATATTTTATAATTTAATTATAAATCAAAAATTTTAAAGTTTAACCATAATTATTTTAAATAATTTAAATAATTAAATTTTATAAAATATATATTTAAAAATTATTTGATTAAAGGTTTTTAAAATATATTTTTATATTTTTATCAATAATACATGTTAAATAATAATGAACCAAAGTTTTAAAAAAATAGATAAAAAAAGTCAACGAGTACCATGTCAGATAAATCTATACAAATACAATGAAGTTGGCGTTGTGTTTCACTCTCTTGCTGTAACACCCATTTCTCATATATGTTTCCCGTACACAAGTTACATGTGTCACATGACTTTTTTAAACATTTTGTTATTTGTAAACCTATAAAATTTTGTTTCTAAAAATAAACATTTTTATATAATAATAATAACACATTCATTAACTTTCAGTAATTAAAATAATCTTAAAGTTATAACATATTACAAAAATTATAATTCAAATGCAATTCCAGAGCATTTTCATAAGTCCAAATACATGCCATCTAATTATCAAAAGTAGACATAATTGTCCAGTTACTAACGAGGCAACCATTGATTGATGATATCTGATGCACTCCATAATCCACTAGTCTTTGCTATTACCTACGCGTGAAACCAACACACGCTAAGTATTTACTTAGTGAGGCATAGTAATACAAAATGAATTGTACATAAATATAAACATATCATACAATATCAAAAAACTAATGACAATTGTATAAATCATATTAATACATAAACTGGCTTGGCAAACCAAGCTTCATTCACATAACCAGATAAACTCTATTTAGTATGCTCAGCATACCTATCAATCAATATTTTTCCAATTTATCCTTTATTTGCCCAATATATGTCAAATGAGAATGCATGGTACATGCATTGTACCAAAGTGTCGAAATGGAAATTAATAAACTCATTATGAATTCCATGGATGCACACATAGTGCCGAAAGTACATATAGTACTGGTATGAAAATGCACATTAAATAAAATCGATTGATAACTTTTATACATAATTATATATCGAAATAGTAATTCACAAACTCATTATGAATACCATGATTGCACATCTAGTGCCGAAAGTACACATAGTACTGATACAAAAATGCACTGTTATGCATTAAACAAAATCGATTGATAACTTTTATATACAATTTATGTCGAAATGCACCTTTGACTCTCAATGCACATACAATGGACTATTCAATCAACTTAGTAGATTAAACAATATAAACATTCATCTATTCCTTTAAGACCAGTTCATACTCTACAATTATTCTTGTATCAATTCCATAAACATTATGAAAACATATCGAGATACTGTAAAACATACTTTAATCAAATATTCGAGGTTGACTCATCGCAAGTCATCCTCGTCTCATATAAGTATAATAAATGCACTCACCTGGTATGCCTCACTATATTTCTTTAAGGACGTCCGACTATTCAACAACTTTACCCTTACCTTTTTGCTTGCTTGACTCAAGGGGTTGATTACGATCTACACAAGCATCCATAATTACACATAAATACAATTGTTAGTATACTATCTAACAATTATACAAAATAATAATACTTAAAAGTACTATCATTTTCGAATTATATTAAAGTTCCTCCTTAACTTAAAATTCCAAGTTAAATAGTATATGTACCCTTCCTATGGTATCGATACTTCTATACTATGGTACCGATACTCTCTTCAGTATCGATACCATTTTTTCATTCTGGAATCCATTTCTCAACAATAGTATCGATACCTTCCACTTGGTATTGATACCCCACTTCAGTACCGATGCTACTTGCATAAGTATCGATATTGTTCATTGTGTTCATCAAATTTAACTATATAGTATTGGTACTGTTCTTCCAGTACCGATACCCTTACCCAGATTTTGCATATTTCACTTCGATTTTTACCATATTTTCGCCTAAATCTCTTACTTTTATCACAAACCATAACATTAAAATCATCATTACTCAAACCAACTATCTTGCATCCATAAATCTCCCTATAACATCCAATAACTCCAAAGAACCCTTAAAACTAAAAATTACACCCAAATTTCAAACATGTTTTTAATCACTTCTAAGGCCCCAAATCTCTTATTTACCTCTCTGGGAAGTCAAATATACCTTCAAACTTCAATATCTGACCATATTTCATCAATTCACTTAAAAACCCATTTTATTAAATCTCAAATAAATCCTTCATCTCTTAGTTTTAATCATCTTTGAACTTTCCTTAAGCTTCTACATCACATAAGATTTTAAAACCAAGCCAAAAATGAAAGGAAAAACTAACTAGATGAAACCTTACCTTTGTTATGGAAGAGAACAGGGACGACGAGAAGAATGAGAAGAGAACCAAGTTTTCCAGCTTTTTATCATTTCTCCTTTCCAACCTTATTAAATATCCCCATTAAAATAAATATTAAATTCATTCATTCTAAAAGACCAAATTGCCCCTTCATTCTTCAATTCTTAATAATTAGTCTTAAATACAATTTCCTAAATCATTCCATATACTTATCAATTTACTCAATTTAACCCACCAAATTTTAAATCCTTTTACTATGGTCACCGACCCGATATTTGGGGTATTAAAATTCTCCCCTTAAGAAAATTCGTACTCGAATTTTAAGACGTACCTGATGTGAAGAGGTGTGGAAACTAGTTCCTCATGTCCTTCTCTCTTTCCCAAGTAGCTTCCTTAACTTTTTGATTTTGCCAAAGTACTTTAACTAGAGGAATCTTCTTGTTATGCAGTTCTTTGTTTTCTCGTGCCAAGATCCACACGGGTTCTTCCTCGTAAGTCAAATCTGGTCGGATCTCTATTTCCTCTGGTGTGACAATATGCGATGGATCTGATCGGTACTTCTTGAACATCGATACGTGAAAAACATTGTGGATCTTGTCTATATCAGGAGGCAAAGCTAATTGATAAGCTAATGGTCCGATCCTTTTTAAAATCTCATAAGGTCCAATAAATCTCGGACTCAGCTTTCATTTGCACCCAAACCGCAATACTTTCTTCCAAGACGATACTTTTATAAATATCTTATCCCCTACGTGATACTCAATCTCTTTTCTCTTTAGATCAGCATAAGACTTTTGTCGATCGGAGGCTATCTTAAGATTATCCTTGATAACTTTCACTTTATTTTCCATTTCTTTCATTAATTTCGGGTCATCCATGTCTCGATCTTTTAACTCAAACCAATTTAAAGGTGTTCTGCACTTCTTCCCATACAAGGCTTCATACGGGGCCATCTTAATACTCGATTGATAACTGTTATTATAAGAAAATTTCGCTAAAGGAAAATATCTTTCCCATGATCCCTTGAATTCAATTACGCATGCCCTTAGAATATCCTCTAATACCTGAATAGTTCTCTCTGACTGTCCATCTGTCTGTGGATAAAAAGCTATGCTGAAATTCAATCGAGTACCTAATGCCTTGTACAAGGAATTCCATAATCTGGAAGTAAACCTGGGATCTCTGTCAGATACTATTGAAACTGGTATTCCATGCAGCCGAACTATCTCTTTTACATACAACTCTGCATATTTATCCATCGATTAATCTACCCGAACTGTAATAAAATAAGGTGTCTTGGTTAATCTGTCCATAATTACCCATATTGAGTTCTTTTTACTAGGTGTCAAAGGTAGCCCTGAAACAAAATCCATTGTAACTCGTTCTCATTTCCACTTGGGAATGTATATCGGTTGTAGTAATCCAGAAGGCACTTGATGTTTAGCTTTCACTTGCTGACATGTTAGACATCTTACAACAAACTCTGATATAACTCTTTTCATGCCAACCACCAATAACAACTATTTATATCCTGATACATCTTATTCTCACCTAGGTGCATCATCAAAGGACTAAAATGTACCTCGGAAAGAATATCTTTCTTTAGTTCTTCATTATCTGGAATGCAAAGTCTTCCACGATAATATAAGCATCCATCAGTCCTAATTTTGAAGTCGTTGGCCTCACATTTTTCTATTTGTGCAGTTCTTGCCAAATATTTTTCATCTTGTCCCTGAAGCTCTTTTATCCAATCCAAAAGCATTGGCTTTAACTTAAGCTCATCAATTAGGTGCTATCCTCCTTAAAGGACATACGTACATCCAAAGCCCTAAAGCTGCAAAAGTCTTTCGGCTAAGTGCATCAGCCACCATATTAGCTTTCCCTTGATGATAATCGATGATCACATCATAATCTTTTAAAAGCTTGATCCGTCTTCTTTGCCTCAAGTTCAGTTCTTTTTTAGTTAAAAAATACTTTAGACTCTTGTGATCTGTATATATATGGCATCGCTCACCGTATAGATAATGATGCCAAATCTTTAAAGCAAACACGACTGCTGCCAATTCCAAGTCATGTGTCAGGTAATTTCGCTCAAGAGTCTTCAGTTGTCTCGAGGCATAAGCCGTAACTTTCCTTTCTTTCATAAGCACACATCCCAATCCGTTATGAGATGCATCACTAAAAACTACATAGTCTTTACCCGACTCAGGTTGTACAAGCATTGGTGCCTCTGTTACAATCCTCTTTAGCATTTCAAAACTTTCTTGGCATTTCTCCAACCAAACAAAAGGCATATCTTTCCGTAAAAACTTAGTTAATGGCGAAGCTAACATTGAAAAATTCTTCACGAATCGTCTATAATAACCAGCAAGCCCCAAGAAACTTCGAACTTCCTAAACATTCCTTGAGGATTGCAATTCCATTATAGCTTGAACCTTTTTGGGATCTACTTTTATGCCTTTTGCGGAGACTACATGGCCAAGGAAAGCAACCTCATCTAACCAGAATTCACACTTGGAAACTTTGGAATATAGTTTATTCTCTTGAAGAGTTTGAAGAACAACACAAAGATGAGCATCATAGTCCTCTCTTGTCCTTGAATATGCCAAAATATCATCTATAAATACCACCACAAATTGATCAAGGTAAGATTGGAATACCCAGTTCATCAAATCCATAAATACTGCAGGAGCATTAGCCAATCCAAATGGCTTTACCATAAATTTGCAATGTCCATACCTAGTCCGAAATGCTTCTTTTGAAATATCCTCCTCTTTAATCTTTAATTGGTGGTATCCGAACCGTAGGTCTATCTTAGAGAACACTATTGCACCTTTCAGATGATCAAACATATCATCAATCCCCAAAATAGGATATTTATTCTTTATTGTTACTTTATTTAACTGACTATAATCTATGCATAATCGCATAGACCGTCCTTTTTTTCCACAAAAAACACAGGTACTCCCCAAGGAGAAATATTGGGTCTAATAAATCCTTATCGAGCAGGTCCTGCAATTAGGCCTTTAATTCTTTAACTCTATTGGAGCCATTCGATATGGAGCCATAGAAATAGGTTCAGTACCCAGGTAAACTTCAATCTGGAATTTTACCTCTAGAGGTAATCCCCGATAATTCTTTCGGAAAAGCATCCAGAAACTCCCTAAATATTGGGATACAATCTAATCTCAATTATAATATTTGAGTGTCTATAACATTGGCCAGAAAAGTTGTACATCCTTCCGACATCATTTTCTTTGCAGTCATGGCTAATATCACATTGGATGGTGATTTTGCTTTTTCACCGTTTACTATTATTTCTGAGCCTTTCGCATCCTTGAAAAATAATCGTTTCATACGACAATCAACCCATCCATGATGTGGAGACAACCAATCCATGCCCAAAATAATTTCAAATTCGTCGAAAGGAAATTCTATCAAGTTTGTTGGAAACAAAACCCCTTGAATCTTTATCGGGCATTTTCTACATATCTGCGTTACTCTTGTACTATGACCCATAGGGTTTACCACTATCATCTCACTAAAAATTGGTTCTAAAGGAATTCCTCTAGCCCTAACTAACTTTGTACTAATATAAGAGTGTGTTGAACCAGGGTCAACCAAAATAAATACAAGCTTATCGAAAAGATGGAATGTACTTGTTAGAATCTCCGGGTCATCCCGATCTTCTATAGTTTTAATGTTATAAATTCTGGCTACTCCTTGAGTCTCGGGTTGCGGGATTATCTCAGATTGTCCTCTGGATCTACCTCTTCCTCTGCTTCTATTCGAGGCTGCTACTGATATCTTAGTTTGTACTAAATTATACCCATATTTCTTGGGACAATTTCGAGCATAGTGACCAATTTCACCACACTAGAAACAAGCTCCACTGAGAAATCTACATACTCCATGATGAAATTTGCTACAAGTCTGACATGGAGTATTTTTTCTCAATAAGCTCGACCCGAGCTAGCAACAAAAGACTGTGACTGCTTACTTTTCCGCGAAGCTACATCATAACCATCTCTATTATTATATCGGGAACTCGAACCCTTGCCTCTCTTGGCATGAGGAGAGATTGAAGATGTTCTAACTCTTTTCCCCGTATATATACCTTGCTCCGCTGCTAGAGTCTCCTCATGAGCTCTTTCAATGGCCTTAGCTCTATTAATAACTTCTTGCAGACTATGCAAGTTTAAAGCCAACATCATCTCTTTCAACTTAGGCTTCAAACCCTCGATGAACCAATCACTTCGATCTTTGTCGTTGAGAACTACCTCGGTAGAAAAATGACTCAACTTGTTGTACTCAAACTTGTACTCATGTACTGTTTGATCACCTTGTTTCAGATTAAGAAACTTCAGCAGCATTGCCTGCCTAAACTGCACTCCGATGTACTTGTTCTTAAATTCCTCCTGGAAGTACTGTCAGTTCACTTGCTCTGGTGGTGCGTACATCATAGTATTGGTCCACCACACTCAAGCTGATCCTCAAAGTAAAGATACAACTCCACCCAACTTTTCAGAATCTGAGCAGGGAAGACTTTTCAGTATCACCTTAATGTCATTTAACTATAGATCAACGTCTATAGGACCTTCGTCCTCTTCTCACCGAAACTCAGGAGCTCCCAAACTTGTCAACTCTTTTAGGATCAACAACCGTGGTCCAAGAGGAGCAGGGGGTGGAGGAGGTTGGAACTGAGTCAAAATGGTATCAAGAGCTTGCATAAAAGCTCCAAACTCTGGCATAGACATACCCTGATATACCGGTGCACTAGCATTTTTTGAGGGGATCAGATGCTCACTATTATCTTCATAGCTCTCACTACCCGACCCTTCTCTCATTTCTTGATCAGTCGCTCTCCGTGAATTCGTAGATTCCGACATCTAATAGGACATAAATAATAATAACACTCAAGTTAGTAAAGAGTGATATCAATCATATTCTAACTATACCATATTACTAACCTTGACATCTTAGTAGCATGTAAACCTTTTTTAAAATTAAATTACACCCTATTTTGGCCGAGAATCGACTAAACATGTAGCTTTGATACCAATAAATATAACACTCATTTATCATATACGTTTCCCGTACACATGTCATATGTGTCACATGGCTTTTTAAAACATTTCCTTATTTGTAAACCCATTAAATTTTGTTTATAAAAATAAACATTTTTATATAATAATAATAAAACATTCATTAATTTTAAGTAATTAAAATAATCTTAAAGTTATAACATATTACAAAAATTATAATTCAAATGCAATTCCAGAGCATTTTCATAAGTCCAAATACATGCCATCTAATTATAAAAAGTAGACATAATTGTCCTACAGTTACTGACAAGGCAACCTTTGATTGATGATATCCAATGCACTCTTTACTCCGCTAGTCTTTGCTATTACCTACGATTGAAACCAACATATGC